CACACACACACACACACACACACACACACACCTTGCAGCTTTGTAAAAGTGAGGTTTTCCTAAGTCTCCTTTTTGCTTTCCCATCGTTTTGAGACAAGTTTATCAGTACCCGCCATTTCAATTTGCTGTGGGAGACAGAATGATAGAGAATCTGACTTAACAGTCCAACCCCATAACAAACCTATAATTTATTAAAAGACAGTCACCTGAACAACCACATAACTGTCTAATGCCTTGAATTTGCAGCCTGAAATCAGCTACTAGATGGTTGTAGTCTTCCAGGATCACATAAATACAACCCTCCCCGTTCAGTCTTCTAGTTATAACTTGAAAGAGACACCATTAAGTTCTTGTGGTTCACTCACTGTCACTATCTACCTCTTAACCTCAAATGCACATTTCTCTATGGATTCATACATGGATTTGTTAAAACTTTGGTTTGATGAATAAGCCACAATGACTGGGTCCATACTAAACCATAATCTTAAACCAGAATATCTATGCTAATCCCAAGCTAAACAATCCCATCAAAATTTAGAGCAGTGTCTGAATCCAGTTGTACTCTTTTACAATCATCAATATGTGAATATTCTTCATTCATAATCACATAATGGAAAAGGAGAGGGAGAACTGCAAGTGAAAAGTATATCCAAAGGGGCAGGAGAAACTGTTTGCACCATATATTTTTGATAGTATAGAAGGGTTACAGCCACCAGCAACAGGTTTTGAAAAAAGGCTCTTTATCTGTTACGTGCACGTAGACTTAACACCGTAGTCTTGAAGTTGGGATATAGAAATATGGCTGAAAGGAATTAAGGTAGAACTAATCAGGTTCTCATCTAAGGCTGTGCTCTCATGCATGCTACCAGAAAGAAGGACTTAGTTATCTCCAGCATGGAAAACATCATACCATAGATTTCACAGACCAGTCACTGACTGCAGTAGCACTGTGAATATAAGCATATCACAATGATTCAAGGAACTAGTCTGTATTAAATACTTTATTTTTCTTTTTGTCATTCACTCAACGACAGAAATAAGCTAGGAGCTTAGAGCCTCGTCTTATGCAATATTATGTACAGGAAAAAATATCTCATTATAAATAGAAAGACCTAGGGTCGGATCACTCCTTGGAAGAAATATGGATATATAAATGTAATAAATAAATCATACACTTGGACATTCCAATGATTTTGGGGTTGATGTTCAGTCCCAAGTAAATGCATGAGATGTTAGCTCTTAGAAAAACAAATAACGTTTTACAAGCACGGCTTTTGTTTATTGTCTTTTGAATACATGCTCTAACAATATATGCCCTGGACTGAAATGATGCAATGTACATAAATTCACTATCTACCTTACTTGCTTCAATGGGATGTACTATAACATTAGCAGGCTGAGTAAGGGAAAACTTTATCTGGGTACACAAATACAATGGGACTTTATAGTTATATTTTCCTTATTTCCAAACTGACCTGTGACTATTCTGTACACATCAATATTGTTCTAACACATTTTTTTCATGTTATACCTTTAACCTCTTACAGTTAGGCTGTACCTGAAGGCCCTCAATCAGATCTGCATATGACAACACAGATATGGAAGCATTGCAATTCTCATCGATCTTATCTCATTATTTAAAAAGGCACCAACTTCTTTGAGTTCAGTTTGACTCCCAGTGATTTCACAGGCAAATCCATGTTGTTCTCCTGGCAACATACAAAAGTAGCTTGCCACCCCCTTCTTCCAGAATAAATATGAACACACAGAACACACACACACAACACAGACTAGTTCCCAGTCTAGAATACAGCTCTGAGATTTCCTGGTAGTCTCCTATTCAAGTTCTAACCTGGTCTGACCCTGATGAGCTCTAACAAAGAACCAATTATGGACTGGAATTTATTTTTTCCCATGTTTTTAACAAGCGAGTTGTTGCCAAATGTATCAGAGATCAGCAGAATGGAGAGAAAGTAAGGAAGGGAATAAAAAATAAAAGGAAGGAAGGAAGGAGATAGAGAATAAAAGAAGGAAAGAGGAAGGAATAAAGGAAAGACGGAAGGGGAGAGAGAGTAAAGGAAGAAAAGAGGAAAAAGGAAGCAGGCAGCCAGGCAGGCAGGAAGGAAACAGAAGCAAGGAAGGGAATAAAGAGAGAATTAAGGAAGGGAAACGGAAGGAAGGAAATAGAAAATAAAAGGAAGGAAGGAAGGAAGGAAGGGGAGAGAGATAGAATAAAAGAAGGAAAAAGAAAATAGGAAGGAAGAAAAGAGACAAGGAAGGAAAGGGGAAAAGGAAGGAAGGACATAGAAAAGGAAGGAGAAAGAGAGGGGAGAGAGAAAGAGAAGGAAGAAAAGAGGAAGAAGGAAGGAAATAAAGAAGGAAAGAAGGGGAGACAGAATAAAGGAAGGAAGGGAAACAGGAGGCGGAGAAAGGAACGAGACAGGCACGGGGAAGGAGGGAAGGGATGGAGAGAAAGCGAAGGAGGGAACGCGGGAAAGACGAGGAGAAGCAGGGGAAGCGAGGCCTGGAGAAAGGGAAAGCCGGAGAGAAGGCGGAAGTCGGCCGGAAGGGACAAAGCGAGGCCGGGCGTGCAAGCCGCGCGTGCAAGCCTGG